CACTGAGACAAGTACCCTGGCTGCCATACTCAATGCCCACTTCAGCAGAAAGAATTTAGAACTGACTCTCACACAAATACCGTATTGGCAGTTGGGATAATCTCTTACCCCACAAAAACAAACAAAAACAACTATTCACAAGAAACAGTTCCAAAAATGTCTTTGATTATCTAACCAAAAATGCCAAAAGGGATCTCTGAATTCTAATTGCCCCCTAAATTAATACCCCTGCATAGAGGCTATAAACAAGAAGAAAAACTAAAAACCTCAGTGTGGAAATTAATCTTTTCTGGTGAAGAAAACTTGGAACTAGATACCCACATTTTTAAAATGAAAGTGGGTTACATCTATTCCCTAATTTCAGCCCATCTTCTAAAGGATTTTAGGGTGACCTCTTCAGAAGGGGCAATGTAAGGGACCCTGACAAGATGACTGAGAAATAATAAATATGGCAGAGTTCCTACTTCTTATGTCTTTGGCAGGAAGACCTTATTTTTTATTTCAATATGTCCACTTCTACTGACCTGTTTAGAGTCATGTAAACCTATATCTCACACATCGCAAACTTTGGAGCCATAAGCCTATTGGCACCCACCTCACTTCTTTCTTTAATTTGATCAATCCAAAATTTTAGGGGCAGCAAAACCATTGAAACCCTTAAAACCCAGATTCTCCCAGGGGGACTTTGGATTTTGGATTCTAGGTTCCCTATCCAATTGTGAAGAATTTGTCTTTCTTTAGGAATGTGTATATGTATGTGGAATTCTTTATGTGTCTTTTTGACTGTTGCTTTCTGCTGTTACCATCTTTTAATTAGTTAACTGGATGAGAGAAAATTAACCCAACCTCTATAACCTCTAGACAGAGAATGTGTCACCTGCAACACCACAAAAATTAGAGCTTGTCCTTGAAGTTTAACAAAGTATATTCTAAGAAACCTGTTTAAAATGTCCTTTAATGAGGGATGCATTAGTTTTAGATTGACACCTTATTCCACTATGTTCCATGAGCCTTAATTGTAGAGGTTCAACTGTAGATGTGTCACCTAGTACTGGGCATCTCTCAGACATATGTTCTCTGTGACTGACCAGATGTTCAATTCTGCAGTAGCCTCCATCTGTTGCAAAAAGAAGCACCTTTGATGAGTGCTTTATGGCATGCCTTTCTGTAATATAAGGATTGATATTTAACATATAGGAAGAAGTTTCATTTGTCTTGAGATATGAAAGACATAGGGCTTTCTCGGGATCTATGTCCTCTCCTGCCATCTGTATTTGGCTGAGTTTACAGTGCCGCCCATAAGTTCACTCCAATTGAGAGGGCTTTAAGTTCAATTAGATAGCTGTTGATTGCCCCCAGATAACAGTGTCACTACTGTACCAATAGAGGTAGTTTGCCATGCTAGTCATTGTGGTTATTAGGCTTTAGGACTGGGTTGGACGATTGATTGTTTTTCTCCCTTGGCAGTTTGCATTCATCATCTAGCGTTATGATAACCAAAATTCAGTTAGAAGGCTTCCAGCTAAGTTCCTGTTCCATTGTTTCAAGTCTTGTACCCTAAGTTGTCCTGTCCTCTACATTAAGGTCTTATCTACTTGTCCTAAGAGACAACTAAGAGGTTTGGCAGTATCCTGTGCTATTTTGGGAGTCTCCTGGGTTGCCTTCACCAACCACTCAAAGGGAGGTCTCTTCTGTCTGACACTGTGTTCCTGGCCAAGCAACTCCCAGGTATACATATGCATTAATGTTCAGACACTGTATGTGCATTTCTCATGGGGTTTTGAGGGCATCACTTTTCCCTCAAGGTTTCCTACCCCCTCCCAAGATTCATTCATCTGTCCTCTTTTTTCTCCCTTAGGTAGAGAGAAATCTAATGCATCCCTCAACTCTCACCAGTAAAGCTTCCTTATACAACAGAGTGCAATGAACACAGAAGGCCACAACTGGCCACATATAAAGAGTAAGAGATGGATAGAGTGTTGGATAGGACTCTTCTATGGAGCCTCATCTACCCACAGCTCAGAGACCACTGTGGAAGAGGGGACAGAAATAGTGTAAGAGCCAGGGCTAGTTGATGAACATAGGGAAGCATAAGCTTCCAGGACACTGGAATTTGCACATGTGAACTTGTGGCAATAGTGGCATCGAGCACAGGACCCATGCCAGCTCAATTAAACAAGGGCCCAAAAGGGAGGTGAGAAATAAGTGGTGGACCAGTACTAGACTGAGAACTGTTGGAGACTGATTGCTGCTGGCTGAGGTAAAGTATGACTTACATAAATCACTAGATGGGCTGACCAGACTCCAGTGGAAACATTTACACTGAAGGACATTTGGGTACAAATGCCTGAATGAATAGGACTTAACATGTATGGTGGACTACCTGAGGTTCGGTGAGGGAATGGGGGAGGCATGGATGAGGAGGGGGGGCGGTTAAATTTGATTAAGAACTATTGTATGAAATTACAAAACCTCAATTATATATATACACACATATATTATATATATGTATATATATATGTATTTTCCTTTAATGTAAGAGAATTTGGCTCTATCAGCCCATATCAAGAATGACAGGTCAGTGTCTTCTTGGAATGCATTATATTCACCTGTACTTGTTTACAAACATGGACTCTGATTGTATTCTATTTAGTTTGTTGTTGCTGTTACTGTTGTTGTTGTTGTTGTTGTTGAAAATATCATGACCAAAAGGAACATGGAGAAGAAAGGGTGTATTTCAGCTTACAATTTCCAGATCAAAGTCTAACACTGAGGGCAATCAGGGCAGGAAGTCAAGGCGGGAACGTGGAAACAGGAAATGAAGGAGAGACTATGGATGAACACTGCTTACAGGTTTGTTTCCCATGGGTTGCTCAGCTGCTTTCCTTATACACCCAACTCATCTGCTCATGGATGGCACCACCCACAGTGGTCGGGGCCCTCATACATTAATTAGTAAAATGCTTCACAGGCAGGTCCACATGTAAATCTGATGAAACAAATCATTAATTAACATTCTCTCTTCCCAAGTGTCTGTAGTTTGTGTCAAGTTGATGAAACCTAAATAGCAGACTATTTCTATCCCAGGTCAGATTTTATACTGTTTACTCAAAATTCCTTGTTATAAGCTTAGTCTCTCAGCTCTGAGATGCGCTGCCTGCTACTTGCTCGTCATTTCCATTACCTCAAAGTTCTACACTAGAGTCTCAGCTTAATTACAGACTTTTGAAAGAATTTAAAATTCATGATGTAGGCTCGAGAGATGACTCAGTGATTAAGATCACTAACTGCTCTTTGCAGAAGACCCAAGTTCAATTCCCAGAACACACAGGGCAGCTAACGACTGTCCTGACTCTACTTCCAAGTGAATCTGATGCTCTCTTCTGAGCTCTGAGGGATTACATGACACAGGTGCACTTATATAGATGCAGGTAATATACTCATACACAGAAAATAAAAAATTAATACATTTCCTAATGCTTAAAATAAATTTGATCAGATGGTTGACAGATTTTTACATCTGAAATCTGTTCTTTCTCACCCTCCATTTTCATGTCCTTTGTCTTCTAAGTATTATCTCTCCGTTCCTCTTTACATATAGCTGTTGTAAATCTTTGAAATCATTTGGACAAGGTGGATGTGGTGGCCTACACTTATTCCTGGGGCTTCTGAGGAAGAGGCATGTTGATATCCATGAGACTGAGGCTACCATGTTCTATATAATGAACTCAGGGCCATCTGGGGCTAGAGAGGTACCCTGTTTCAAAAAAATCCCAATCAATCCGTCAATCAAATCCTTTGAGCAGGGCTATAACTCTTTTCTTACCAATTCCAATAATTGAAGGGGTGGCTTCCAAAGAGCAAATGAACAATTAATGTTTGGACAAAACAATGAATTGATTTAAAGGATGAATAAAATGTTTAACTTATACATTTCATGTTCTCATACACTTTGAATAAGCAAACACAACTTTAAGTAATGTTACAAAGTGGTAAGTACAGGTATTTATTCAATGAAGAATTAATCATTTGTATTTTGAGTCACCATTGTATGATCTCATATTTTCATGAAGATTCCTTTTCCAATATATGTAAGCTCATGCTTTACTAAATACAAAGTACTGAAGGATTTTCAATTTGTTTTAAAATAACAAAATTCTTAGTCTTAAATTTCACACTTACCAATAGTTGGCAAAGATGAGAAATAAGGTAATCTTCAATTACAGAAACATTTGGAATGGAACAAAAGAAAAACAAATCTGTAATTAATTTGTGTGTATCAAAAGAGTAAACACAGCAGACACTAGCAGGGATAACAGAGTATAAGGGCTCTAGTTGGGGGAGGGAGGCTATGGGAGGGTGTTATCTGGGAAGTGGGTGTAAAAATAAATAAATAAATTTTTAAAAAATAAAAAAATAATAATTCTTCAAAGCATAAAAATTTTCCTCTTAATCATTGGTGGATGTGAAAAACATTACCACTGAAATCTACCTGATGACTTTATATCCATGCTCAGATGCCAAGGAGCTCAGAAAGTAACCGACTGTGACTTGTAATAACCAGATATATAGAGATAGGAAATGCATGTGCATCTTAGTGTCAATTGTATTGAAAATGAATTTTTCTGTATGAAACTGTGTATTTCAATAGTGAAATGGGTATATTTTTTTAAAGTTTAAAACCTCATTTAATTTTATGTCTCATAGGGTTTATACTGAGTACAATATTGTATAATTGTATTAATTCAACAGTAAACCAAAAATTACAGCCAATTTTGAAGGGGGTGTATCTTAGCTCTGGAAATTATTATTGAATATGTTAATGCTATTGTAATGAAATGCTTCTTCTGATTGTGTGGTTATTAAATAAATAATTTAAAAAAAGAGGAAACATACACTTTGTGCCCTCCTACCCATAAACTCTCTACTACTGAGGAGATTAAATGCTCCTAAACACAGTTAAGTGTATACCTCAGGGCCTGGTAATTGTGGGATTGGGACTAGGAAAGAATCCTGGTCTTGGCAAGACTGTAACCCAAAGCCTCAGCTCTCCTTCCTGCTCTATTTGCCTTGTCACACAGAGCTTCCTCATAGAGATCAGGGAAGGAGCCAGGGAGAGTATCTTTGATCTTAGCTATAATTTCCAGCACTTTCATCTTGGTGGTTTCAGAATAGGCTCTGGGACCCCACAGGAACTCATAGGTTGGGGGATTACTGTAAGGCACCTGGTGGCATTCCAAATACCTTTGCTCCACTAGATCTTTGGTGATGAACTTACAGGGATCCCCAAAAATTAGGTGTCTCCTCCCAGGGTGTACCCCCAACACATTCAGGAATTCCCAGACCTGTTCCTCAGTGGCATGGTTGCCGTTCATGAATATCACACCTAAGAGGGCAAGCACAAGACCCGTCTTTGGCAACTCTTTCTTGCTATTGGGATCTTCCCTTGGGGGAATGGGTAGCTTGCTAACAAAGACATAGGACTGAGTGTTGGGATTGTCAACCTTCAACTCCAGACCATAGACCAACTTAAGTTGTGAGGTGGCTTTGTTCAGGATCTTGGGGAAGTGCTCCTTGTACTTCATGCTGATCAGCCTCAGCATATCTGTATGCAAATGTTGCTCATTATTATGATACTTCTCCAAGATGAAGTGCAGCAGCAAACTGGCTTTCCTGGAGAGAGGATCTCTGCGTGTGGACAGAATGGCAGCAGCTGCCCAGTAGGCATTTTCACTCCTCAGCATCTACAAGAGAACCCTAAGCACCCATAACAGCAGCCTCAGCACCTAGACCATAGCCAATGCACACCACTTCTAACTCAGGACAGCCAGAGGATTCAGCCCCCTGAGACCCCTGGGGAGTGCCAGCATCTTCCTAAGGAGGAAGTGAAATGCCTTTTTAGTTTGACATCTGTGTCTACACATCTGTTGACTGAAAAGAGTGTCTGTTCAAAATTTTCAGGGATGAATTTCCACCTTTAGCCATTATTAGTTATGATGGCACTTGTTATTATGATTTTAACCCTATTGATACTTACTGTTAGGGTCATAATAAATTACTAGCCATTCCTCATCCACAAAACAGGTTTTAAGTGATTTAATACAATCTCCAGGGTCACAATTTCTCAACTAACTGACTCAAACACTTTTGGTAGTTTGCTACTGCAGATTTTGTCAATGAAGAAATAACAAAATTTATTGTGACAGGACACAGTAGAAGAAACAGATGCCAAATTATGACACATTTTCTTCAGCCAGTTATGTTAGCTGATGTGCTTTTTTGTATATTTTTATTGAATTTTTGTGAATTTCACACAAGACATCTTAAACATCTTTATACCCTGTCCCCCATATCCCCCTCACCATATTTCATGCATTCTGTCATATATGTTAAGGCCTATTGAGTCACTCTTTAGGGTAACAACATACACAGATTCTAGTTCTGTGCAGGGGATGAAGCCCCTGAGAAGCTACTCAGGTTCTAGTAGATGGTCATTCACCCATGCACATAGTGGCAGAACTGAGTGGACTTAGTAGTTTTAAAAGCAAAAAGAGCACATGAGACTGGGAAAGAACAGCACAGGGTAGAAATGGGGATGAATTAGACTGGAGTGAATGGTGGATGATGGATGAATTTGACAATTTACTTAAAAAATTAAAAACTGGGGGCTGGAGAGATGGCTTAGAGGTTAAGAACACTGAATGTTCTTGCAAAAGACCCGGCTTCAAATCCCAGCACCCACATGGCAGCTAACAACTGTCCATAACTCCAGTTCCAGATGATCTGACAGTCTCTTCTGTCCTCCACGGACATTGCACAACTTCGGTGCACTTACCTGCATGCAGGCAATACACGCATACACATAAAATGAAAATAATAAATAAAATATTTTTTAAAAAAGAAATTCAATGTCTATGCATATATATTGAATTAGTTTCCTTAGATTTCCCTCTATAATTTTCAATTTTTCATTCTTACATTAATGTCTTTGATCCATTTTGAGTTTTATACAGAGTAGGAGATAAGGATGTAACTTTAGTTTTCTTTGTTCTTTTTTTACTCATGTCAGCAACTTTTATTATCAGTTACATACTACATAGAAAGAGGTGTCAAGAAATGGGTCATAGTTGTAAAACTTATAATTTGTAAACCTCCCTCTATTTACACATGGTTGCAGGGATGTGTGCAAATCAAGCACAGCAGCTGCACTTGTTGGAAGCCTCTTTACACACACAGCCTTGAACGTACTTCACACAGACTATAGGGGTGGCTTTGGTTTTCTGTTTATGAATACCCCAGTTTTCCAGCATCACATTTAAATAGACTATGTCTTTCCTTATTCTTGTTTTTGACATCCAGATTGAACACCAAAGAGTGCATGAAGTGCTTTAGAAAATAAAAACAAAACAAAACAAAACAAAACACAATATGGTATTGTTACCACTACTATTGGTTTTGTTTACCTTATATCTTTCTAATTTGATATTCTTGTTTGTTTTACCAAATTTTCCCCTTTCCACCCTCTGGGAGGCTGGCCCTCAGGCACCAAATCTCCCAGTTCTGACACTGGTTAATAAAACCAACCTAACACAGTTTTTGAATTTTGCATAGTTTGTATGACATTTGGGAGAGGGTGACTTACAAAGAAATGGCTTCTCATAATCCATGTGTCATTCAAGCCTGCCCATAGTCTCCCTCAGCTTTCATGCACCGTGCCCAATGGGACTCCCTGTAGCCACTCCCCCACAGATGCACTTGCTCCAACTTCCAAAATGGCTATGGCTCCACCCCTTTTCCAAGGGTGCCCCACGCCACCCTCACGTTTTGGAGAAATGAGTAATTTTCAGGCTGTACTCCATCCCTTTCCTCCAGCTCTTGCAAACTTTCCACCATCTCTTCCATAAATTTCCCTGAGCCTTAGAAGGGGTGGCAGATGCAAGGCAATCTCTCTTGTATTATAGCAAGACAATGCCCTCTTGGGCCTCCCCATCATTCATCTTCAAGACGTAGCCATTGATCTATCTCAGTGGCATTTCCCCTACTATAAAGACAAATGGAAGGAAGTAGACACATCTAAACAAACATGAATGTAAATACAAATGCCTAGAAGATATCCTAGTAGGGGTACCATATTCATTAAACAGTATACTTGCAATGGCTTCCCCACTGGGGCCTGTAGCCTTCCCTAACACAGGGGGTTGGCCTGGTCTACAGTACTAGAGGTATATTCTACCCCTAGGAGCAGACCTTATCCAATTAGAAATTTGTCAGTACATATGTTAGTCAAGCTGTTATTGCATTAGCAGGCATTGCTTGGCACATCCATAGTGTGCAGCACGTGGGGTTCACTATTGAGCAGAATCATAGGGGATCCTTTTTACCCAACCATCTGCATAGCACCTTTTGGAACTATGAAAACCATCCATCCAGTGGCATGGAGTTTTTAGTTTCTCCATTTCTTCTTCTCCTGCGCTCACATCATGCAGTGTCTTCAGCAACATGGCCTTACTGACCTTTCTAGTGTACAACTGAGATCACTGGCAATAGCCTTGGTGAATTTGAGGAACTTTAGGATCTCTCTCTGACCAACAGCTAATAGGGGGGCAACCCACCCCTGGTACTATAGTTGTTTTTGTTTTTTTTTAACAGTTGTATAGTTTTGGGAGCCTCTGTTTTTATCTTACCTAACTATAAAACTCCCAAGAATCTTATAGCTATAGCTGGTCTTTGTTTCTTCAGGTATCTTTCAAATGGGTTTCACATCTGTAAAACACTCAAAGATTAATATCATACATTAAATCAATCATAGACAAGGTCTATCATAGTACAGAAATGTCTTATCCATTCATATTAATTACTTTCTCCATAGATCTTTGTCAGATACCATAACATGGGTAAGAGGCATTAATTTGGTTAGTTCTTTACTAACTTAGCTAGCCCTTCAGAGTCATTCCACATTCTGGGGATATTACATGGAGTCTCTTTGTATTCTTTTATCCTTGATACATTTACAGGTGTTGGCTCCAGTTGCCTGACCCCGAACCAGGCTAAGGAGACAGAGGGTTTCTCTTGTTCCTGCTGCACCTGATGGTTCCCTGAGTCAGGCAGGCCCTGGGTCTGCCTCCTGGCTGTAGCTATATCTGCCACCTTCTATTAGGCATGCCTGGCTGCTGGGGGAGGCCCTGGTGGGAAAAAAAAACCACCTCCACCACTAGCATAGCCTTTTTGGGGAGAGAAATGCACCTTATTTAATCTTTGGGGATCCTTTACTCCTGGGACAGTTTTTATACTCTGAATGTCTTTTGTAAACTGTTCTTCAGGTTTTAAAGCCTTCCAGAAACTCCTTAGTGCCAAATTTGGTTTTCTATCATTTTTTCTTTGGGAATTTGGGTTCAATATAAATCTTGCCACATTTTTCTTCAAGTAAACCAAATTGACCATTTCTTCTCTCTGGTCTCTTTTATATCTCTTCTGGGGTGTTCTGTTATTCTACAGACACATTTTACTCACTGATCTGAGCCACTTAAATCTGCAATAGCCTCTCTCAGTTTACAAAGATCCTGTCCCATTAAAGGATTTAGCAAAACCATTAAAGCTCTATACCATTCTCGAAGTCCCAGTTGAATTAAGTTTTCCTTTATATCTCTGGTGAACACGGTCTTATCTGGCCCAGTGAACTGGGCATCGTATATTGCTTTGCTCATATCTAGTTCTCCCAGTAATGCCTGTACCTCCTTTATAGTCCTCCAGACCCTGCTAATCATGGGAGTTTCCTTTGGTGATGACCATGTATCTTTAAAGCCTTGTACCAGCCATCGCATTAGGGAGTGCACCTCCTTGCATTGGCCTAGGTGGAACAGCCTATGTTGCAAGGATGGATGGGTGGTTATATAACTCAGCTGTGAAGCTTCTGTAGGGCTTAAACTGAAATTATTTGCTCCCATGTCCCATACCCTCCCAAGCCATGTAGGGAGGGGCTCTTTGATTGCTTGCTGGAAAGTATTCCAGCATGGAATATTTTCTCCTAGCTATAGTCCTGATAACTTTTTTCTCTTTTTGTATCAAAGGTGGAATCTGAGGGACAGCTTTAGCTATTTTATTACTAGGTTGTTTCTTTTTTCACTACTTCTTTTGTCCTGGGTCTTTGGACTCCAGGTCCCCTAACCTTATGCAAGTTAAAATCTCCAGATTTTTTTTCTCTCTCTCTCAAGCTCTGAGGGTGAGACTGAATTTGCCAGTAACTCCTTAGGCTTTTCAGCCTCCCCTGAGGCTGCCTTTGTTTCAAACAAATCTTCTTAATGCAAAGTGGCCACACTCACTATCTGGAATCCCCTCTTGCTTCCAAGGCTTGCCCACATTTACAACACAGATGTGGCCCAGGGATTTTCCCCTTTGCATCTGTCTGTGATCCATTGTATAATGCACATGAGCACAGCTAGCCCACTTAAACATAATGTGGTTTGGCCACGCTCTTCCCTGGGTTCCTGCCAGCTTCTCTGGATGAGTTGCATTACCTCACAGGACTCTTTGCAGCGCCAATCTCCACCCTTCGGGGTTTGGGAATCTGAACCTGGCTCCTTTTGATTGGCTTTCCTGATGCTGATGGAACTGTAAGCTTTCCCAGGCCCACATCCACATGCTTTCCCCAGACTCCTGAGGTTCCTCTATCCAGCCACTCTATCACTCTAGCCACTTTGTTTTACTGAATTTTCCCCTTCCAGCCCACTGGAAGGCTGGCTCTTAG